TACTTTATTGGTTTTCTGTTTGCTTTTTTCCATTGCATTCATCGCCATCATTATTACTATCATATTATTTCATTGTTATTATTATCTTCATTGTTACTTTCACGGTATAAGGGCGTCCTTCCCGAGGAGAGAGGAGAGGAAGGAAGAGGCGGAGGAGAGAGAGAGAGTAAGGAAGAGGAGAGAAGGAAAAGAAAAGAAAGGAGAAAGAGAGACTTGCACTAAAGGGAGGGAAAGGAGACAGAGGGAAGGGCGAAGGGAGGAACGAAGAGTGGAGGACGAAGAGCGGAGGAGAAACAGATAAGAATGGGGGATAAGGAAGAATAAAGAAATGAGGAGGCAGAGCAGAGAGTAGGAAAGAAAAGAGAGGAGGGAATGGCGATTGGGAGAAAAGGGAAGAGAGAGAAAAAGGAAAGGAAGAAGAGAAGAAGGGGAGAGAGAAAAAGAAAAGGGAATAAGAAAAGAGGGAGAAAAAAGGAGGAATATAGGAGAAAAGAGAACGGAAGTCAGAAAATGAGGAGAGAAAAAAGACAGAGAAAAGATGCAAATGAAAGAGGAAGCGGGGAACAGAGCAAGACAGCAGAACAAGAGGATTATAAAGAAGAGGAACAAGAAGGGGAGTGAGAAATATAGCAGAGAAGGAAGAGGAGAAAGAGACAGAGTGAAAGTGGAAGAGAAGAAAATGCATAGAGGAAGACGAAAAATAAAGAAAGGAGAGAGCTGAATAGGAGACAGTGGGTTAGGGAGAGAGGGGAAAAGCAAGAGAAAAAGGTAGAGCAAAGAGAGAAGAAGGGAGGAAGAAGTGAGGTAGAGGAAGGGAATGAGGGAAGAATCAGGAAGAGACAGAGGAAAGGAGGGAAAATGGGGAAGAAGAGACGAGAGAGTGAAAGGGATGATTAGAAAGAAGAGAAAGACAATAGAAAGAAGAAGCGAGGAAGAAGTAAAGAAGAGAGAAATGGAGAGAGAGAGGGACGGAACGAGAGAGAGAGAAAGAGAGAGAGAGAGAGAGAGAAACAGGCAGAGAGAGACGGAAAAGAAGAGAAAAATGTCTATCATTAGAACTAGTAATATTTAGGAAAAACAATATAAAAAAAATATTGACAGTAATAATGATAATGATAATAATAATAAGAAAGAAGAATGATGAAAAAAATAATGATAATAACGAAGATAATTATAACTGATGTTGATAATGATAATGATGATGAATTATGAAAATGATAAAACTATAAAGATATGATAAAAAAAACGCATAATAACGATAATCGTAATGACAGACATAAAGATAATAGCAACAATATTGATGATAATAATAACAATGGGTAATAATAATGATGATTATATTGATAACAATAATAAGGAATAATAATAATCACAATAACCACAATGCCAAAAAAATCATAATGATAGCAAAACAATACAATTATTTAAATAATAATATCATATACCAAGAGAAATAATAACAATAAAGACAAGGACAGTAATAAAGATAATGAAAATATTAATAATGAAAAATAATGCATAAAATAACAATGACAATGATAATAATAACAATAAAAATAATAAAAATGATTATAATTATAACAGTAATAACAATAATGATAACATTTGTCATCATAATGATAATAATCCTTGTCATCATAATGATAATAATCCATGTCATCATAATGATCATCATTCTATTCATCATCATATTAATAATCGTCATCATCATCATAATAATGATGATAAATAAAACTCCCGAAAATGAAAGCCAAGGAAGACGCTAACAACGGTTCCGAACACGCGGTCAGCCTGGCTGCGCGCTCCTTGCGAGGGACGGCGCATGGGTCGAGGGACGCCACCAACTTTCGGGGAAACTTCAAGAGAAGGATTCGCTGCACAGCGACGCAGCGACAAGAGCCACGGAACAGGATTCGTGGAGCCGCAACGCCTTCAGTAGCGTCTCTCTCGCTCCTCGTCCTTCCATCTGCCATTCTCTTCTTCCTCTCTCTCTCTCTCTCTCCCCTACCCCCTTCTCTTCTCTCTCTCTCTCTCTCTCTTCTCTTTTAGCAATCTTGCCGACCAGCATTCGATCCCCGCGCTGCCAGTGGATGGCAACCCGGCCATTCCTTGGTTAGGTTAGATTAGGTTCACAGCAAAGATTATCCATTGTAACAATGGGAAGTAAACTAAACCTTTTCTATATCTCTGTATGTATGTATATGCACACACCATATATATATATATATATATATATATATATATATATATATATATATACACACAAATACATATATAAACATCTATATATACATATAGATAGCAAGATATGAGTATACTGTGTCTCCTCTTCCTTACTTTTTTTTTCTCCCCTCTTTTCTTCTTGCTCCATCTCCCATCTCCCACTCTTTCCATTTGCTCTCTTCTCTCTGTGTCTCTCTTGTTCCTCCTTTTACACTCTCACTCTCCTCTTCCTTCCCATCTCTTATTACACCCCTCTCTCCCTTCATCGTATTCTCTTTTTTCTTTTTCTTTTTCCACCTCTTCCTCTCTCTATCTCTCTCTCCTTCTCCCTCTCTCTCTCTCTCACTTACTCACTCACTCACTCTCTCTCCACGCACTCAGATCATTTGGCGATTTTGTCAAACATAATAAATCTCGAGATCAAATATTGGCTCTGGGAAACTGACTAATTGGCAACCTCCCCCAACAGCGCACGCTTTGACTGAGACAAAAATGACGTTCAAAGCACAGAATATAACAGCTCAAAACACTAGTTATCATAAACATCATCGGATGTGTGGAGAACAGTCGCGGGGTGCCCTCAATATGCAAAATACTGGCATGCAAACCACTTTTCTCTCAGAGCGCGGGACCATGGCGAAAGGTGCCAATGAGTCAATTTTCCGGAGAGACTATTTCCCTCGAGACACTGCTTGGTTCCACGAATCGCAAAATGAAATGGAGAAGAAAAATCCATTTCGATTTGAACTGCTTGTGTGTCTCATGGGATGAGGAGGATCTTAATACTATTATGTTGAGAAAGCAATATTGATAATGATTATAATAATGATAATTGTAACAATAATAATAAGTGACAACAATGATAATACTAATAATTATTATAATGATAATAATAATGATAATATTTTGTTTATATATATTATTGCCTTTATTAGGACATTTACTTTCACTATTATCATTACTATTCTAAGGACAATGATATACAACAGTATTGATAAAAAAAAAAAAAAAAAACAAACAAACAATGATACAACTAATAACTGTAAGAAAAGAATTGTTCCTGTTGCCTTACCAAAGCATCTTTATCATTATTATTATTGTTCTTTGTTATCTTTTATCTTCAGTTATTTTCTTATGTTTTTTATTTCATTTCGCATATTTATTGTTTTGTTTTCATTGTTACTCTGTTTTAGTTTGTTTCGTTTTTAATTTTTTATTCTTATGTTTATTTTTTATCTTTATTATTATCATTATTATTCCATTATTTTTATCATCATTATCATTACTATCATAATTATTATTACAATTATCACTTTCTATGAAAATGGGCATCATAGTAAGGAGGAAATAAGGAAGAGCTGAGAACTAGGAAGGAAGATGAAAGAATGGAAAAGAAAAGAAGGGATAAAGAGAGAATAACAGTGAGAGGGGAGGGAGAGAGAGGAAAGAGTGAAGGGAAGAACGAAGAGCGGAGGAGACACGGAGAAGAATGAGGAAAAGGGATTAAAGAAGAGCAGAAAGTAGGAGAAAAGAAGGAAGAGGGAAAAAGGAATGGGAGAAAAAGGGAGTAAGAAAGAGAAATAAGAATAGAAAAAAGAAGAAGGGGACAGAGTGAAAGGGGGGTAGAGAAGAGAGTGATGGAGAAAAAAAGAGGAAGAAAAGAGAAAACAGAAAAAAGGCCAGTAAAGGAATAAAGAGATGAAGGAAGGAAGAGAGAAAATAGAGAAGAAGAGTCAAGGAGAAAGACGACAGAGAAAAGATGTAAGGAAGCATAATGAGAGGGGAGAGTAGAGAAAGAAAAAAAAAAAAAAAAAAAAAAGAGGAAGAGGAGAAAGGGGTGGGAGGGGTGAGAGATTCAAAAGAAGAGAAATGGAGAGAAAGTGGATAAGAAAAGTAAACAAAGAGGAAAGATGGATGTAGGCCTACTAAATGAGGATGGTCAAAATGGTTAACCTCATGTGCGTGTGTTTACGTACATATGATCGTCCTTGAAAATCATGAACTCCCTGTGACCATCCCCCCCCTCCCCCATGGCTGACAAACTGGTAATAAATCAATAAATAAATCAATCAATAAAAATCTATCCATGACTTTTTGAGTTATCCTGTTAACCGACAGACAAACCAATGGACAAAGAAACTGATTGCAACAATGATAATGATAATAACAATAAGAATAATTATAACAATAGAAATTTTAAAGTCGTTAATAATAATAACAATAATGATAATGATATTATTGATATTATCCTTATTATGATACTTTCATGATTATTTTTATTACTATTTTAATGATAAAGAATAATAATAGTGATAAAAAACAAGAATATAACCAAAAACAATTGCAAGAATAGAATTGTTGCTCCTGTTGCCTTACCGAAGCGTTATCATTATTATCATTATTATTGTTTGATTTTCTTTTATTATCATCTTTCTTCTTTTGCTACTTCATTTATCTTCATATTTTTTTTTGTTGTTTTGGTGTTTTATTTGTGCATTCTCTTTTAGTATATATATATATTTTTTATTTTCTAACTTTTATTCTTCTTTATGTTTCTGTTTTCTATTTTATTTTTTTATTGTTACCATCATTCCATTACCATTATTATTGTTATTACTTTTGTTATTATTATTATTTTTTTATTATTATTATTATTATTATTCCTATTATCATCATTACAATTGTTACTTTCTATGAAAATGACAAAGAATAATAATAATGACTTTAAAGATAATAACAATACAATCAATGATGACAGTAAGAAGAGAAATGTCGCTCCTGTCGACTTACCAACAGTCTCTGGCGTTGAGGTCGCCGCCGTTCTCCGCCAGGAATTGGACGACAGAAAGGTGTCCGTTCTCGGCAGCGAAGTGAAGGGCGGTCCTGTCTGCGGGAGGAAGAAGCTTGTGTCAACCGTCGTGTTGATGGGTGGTGGGAATGAGGATGGAAATGGAAGCGAAAGGGAGGATGAAAAGGGGGATGGGCATCATAGTAAGGAGGAAGTAAGGAAGAGTGAGAACTAGGAAGGAAGAGGAAGGAATGGAAAAGAAGAGAAGGGATAAAGAGAGAATAACAGTGGGAAGGAGGGAATGGATAGAGATGAAAGAGTGAAGGGAAGAACGAAGAGCGGAGGAGACAGAGAAAAATGATGAAAAGGGATTAAAGAAGAAGAGCAGAAAGTAAGAGAGAAGGAAGTGAGGAAAGGAATATGAGAAAAAGGGAGTAAGAAAGAGAAAGAAGAATAGAAAAAAGGGGAAAGAGTGAAAGGGATTGATGGAGAAAATAAGAGGAAGAAAAGAGAAAGGAGAAAAAAATGTCAGTAAAGGAATAGAAAAAGAGGAAAAGAGACAAGGAGAAAGACGACAGAGAAAAGATGTAAGGAAGGAAAATAAGAGCGGAGAGTAGAGAAAGACAAAAAAGATGAAGAGGAGAAAGGGGTGGGAGGGGGTGAGAGACTCAAAAGAAGAGAGAAATGGAGAGAAAGTGGATAAGAAAAGTAAACAAAGAGGAAAGATGGATGTAGGCCTACTAAATGAGGATGGTCAAAATGGTTAACCTCATGTGCGTGTGTTTACGTACATATGATCGTCCTTGAAAATCTTGAACTCCCAGTGACCATCCCCCCCCCCCCCCGCTAAGACAAACTGGTAATAATAAATAATAAAAAAAAATAAACCAATAAAAATCTATCCTTAACTTTTTGAGTTATCCTGTTAACCGACAGACAAACCAACGGACAAGGAAACTAACCAACGCTGATGATTGCAATGATGATAATAATAATAGTGACAACAATGATAACGATAACAATAAGAACAATTATAACAATAGAAATATTAGTCATTAATAATAATAACAGCAATGATAATGATATTATTGATATTATCCTTATTATGATACTTCCATTATTTTTTTCATTACTATTTTAATGATAAAGAATAATAATACTGATAAAAAACAAGAATATAACCAAAAACAATTGCAAGAATAGAATTGTTGCTCCTGTTGCCTTACCGAAGCGTTATCATTATTATCATTATTATTGTTTGATTTTCTTTTATTATCATCTTTCTTCTTTTGCTACTTCATTTATCTTCATATTTTTATTGTTTTGATGTTTTATTTGTGAATTCTCTTTTAGTACAAATATTTTTTTATTTTCTAACTTTTATTCTTTATGTTTCTGTTTCCTTTTTTTTTTATTACCATCATCATTCCATTATCATTATTATCGTTATTACTTTTATTATTATTATTATTATTATTATTATTATTATTTATTATATTATTATTATTCCTATTATCATCATTACAATTGTTACTTTTTATGAATATGACAAAGAATAATAATAATGACTTTAAAGATAATAACAATACAATCAATGATGACAGTAAGAAGAGAAATGTCGCTCCTGTCGACTTACCCGAATCGGTTCTGGCGTTGAGGTCGCCGCCGTTCTCCGCCAGGAATTGGACGACAGAAAGGTGTCCGTTCCTGGCAGCGAAGTGAAGGGCGGTCTCGTCTGCGGGAGGAAGAAGCTTGTGTCAACCGTCGTGTTGATGGGTGATGGGAATGAGGGTGGAAATGGAAGCGAAAGGGAGGATGAAAAGGGGGATGGGCATCATAGTAAGGAGGAAGTAAGGAAGAGTGAGAACTAGGAAGGAAGAGGAAGGAATGGAAAAGAAAAGAAGGGAAAAAGAGAGAATAACAGTGAGAAGGAGGGTATGGAGAGAGAGGAAAGAGTGAAGGGAAGAACGAAGAGCGGAGGAGACACGGAGAAGAATAATGAAAAGGGAATAAAGAAAAAGAGCAGAAAGCAGGAGAGAAGGAAGAGGCATAAAAGGGAGTAAAAGAGAGAAATAAGAATGGAAAAAGAAGAAGAGGAAAGAGTGAATGGGAGGTAGAGAAGAGAGTGATGGAGAAAAAAAGAGGAAGAAAAGAGAAAAGAGAAAAAAATGTCAGTAAAGGAATAGAGAGATGAAGGAAGGAAGAGAGAAAATAGAGAAGAAGAGTCAAGACAGAGAAAAGATGTAAGGAAGGAAAATGAGAGTGGAGAGTAGAGAAAGACAAAAAAGATGAAGAGGAGAAAGGGTGGGAGTGGGTGAGAGATTCAAAAGAAGAGAAATGGAGAGAAAGTGGATAAGAAAAGTAAACAAAGAGGAAAGATGGATGTAGGCCTACTAAATGAGGATGGTCAAAATGGTTAACCTCATGTGCGTGTGTTTACGTACATATGATCGTCCTTGAAAATCATGAACTCCCAGTGACCATCCCCCCCTCCCCCATGGCTGACAAACTGGTAATAAATCAATAAATAAATAAATCAATAAAAATCTATCCATGACTTTTTGAGTTATCCTGTTAACCGACAGACAAACCAATGGACAAAGAAACTGATTGCAACAATGATAATGATAATAACAATAAGAATAATTATAACAATAGAAATTTTAAAGTCGTTAATAATAATAACAATAATGATAATGATATTATTGATATTATCCTTATTATGATACTTTCATTATTTTTTATTACTATTTTAATGATAAAGAATAATAATAGTGATAAAAAACAAGAATATAACCAAAAACAATTGCAAGAATAGAATTGTTGCTCCTGTTGCCTTACCGAAGCGTTATCATTATTATCATTATTATTGTTTGATTTTCTTTTATTATCATCTTTCTTCTTTTGCTACTTTATTTATCTTCATATTTTTTTTTATTGTTTTGTTTTATTTGTGCATTCTCTTTAGTATATATATATATATTTTTTTATTTTCTAACTTTTATTCTTCTTTATGTTTCTGTTTTCTATTTTATTTTTTTATTGTTACCATCATCATTCCATTATCATTATTATTTATTACTTTTTTATTATTATTATTATTTTTATTATTATTATTATTATTATTCCTATTATCATCATTACAATTGTTACTTTCTATGAATATGACAAAGAATAATAATAATGACTTTAAAGATAATAACAATACAATCAATGATGACAGTAAGAAGAGAAATGTCGCTCCTGTCGACTTACCATTACAGTCTCTGGCGTTGAGGTCGCCGCCCTTCTCCGCCAGGAATTGGACGACAGAAAGGTGTCCGTTCATGGCAGCGAAGTGAAGGGCGGTCCTGTCTGCGGGAGGAAGAAGCTTGTGTCAACCGTCGTGTTGATGGGTGATGGGAATGAGGATGGAAATGGAAGCGAAAGCGAGGATGAAAAGGGGGATGGGCATCATAGTAAGGAGGAAATAAGGAAGAGTGAGAACTAGGAAGGGGGAGGAAGGAATGGAAAAGAAAAGAAGGGATAAAGAGAGAATAACAGTGAGAAGGAGGGTATGGGAGAGAGAGAAAGAGTGAAGGGAAGAACGAAGAGCGGAGGAGACACGGAGAAGAATAATGAAAAGGGAATAAAGAAAAAGAGCAGAAAGCAGGAGAGAAGGAATAGGCATTAAAGGGAGTAAAAGAGAGAAATAAGAATGGAAAAAGAAGAAGAGGAAAGAGTGAATGGGAGGTAGAGAAGAGAGTGATGGAGAAAAAAAAGGAAGAAAAGAGAAAAAAATGTCAGTAAAGGAATAGAGAGATGAAGGAAGGAAGAGAGAAAATAGAGAAGAAGAGTCAAGACAGAGAAAAGATGTAAGGAAGGAAAATGAGAGTGGAGAGTAGAGAAAGACAAAAAAGATGAAGAGGAGAAAGGGGTGGGAGTGGGTGAGAGATTCAAAAGAAGAGAAATGGAGAGAAAGTGGATAAGAAAAGTAAACAAAGAGGAAAGATGGATGTAGGCCTACTAAATGAGGATGGTCAAAATGGTTAACCTCATGTGCGTGTGTTTACGTACATATGATCGTCCTTGAAAATCATGAACTCCCTGTGACCATCCCCCCTCCCCCATGGCTGACAAACTGGTAATAAATCAATAAATAAATAAATCAATAAAAATCTATCCATGACTTTTTGAGTTATCATGTTAACCGACAGACAAACCAATGGACAAAGAAACTGATTGCAACAATGATAATGATAATAACAATAAGAATGATTATAACAATAGACATATTAAAGTCGTTAATAATAATAACAATAATGATAATGGTATTATTGATATTATCCTTATTATGATACTTTCATTATTATTTTCATTACTATTTTAATGATAAAGAATAATAATACTGATAAAAAACAAGAATATAACCAAAAACAATTGCAAGAATAGAATTGTTGCTCCTGTTGCCTTACCGAAGCGTTATCATTATTATCATTATTATTGTTTGATTTTCTTTTATTATCATCTTTCTTCTTTTGCTACTTCATTTATCTTCATATTTTTTTATTGTTTTGGTGTTTTATTTGTGCATTCTCTTTTAGTATATATATATTTTTTATTTTCTAACTTTTATTCTTCTTTATGTTTCTGTTTTCTTTTATTTTTTTTATTGTTACCATCATCATTCCATTATCATTATTATTGTTATTACTTTTATTATTATTATTATTATTATTATTATTATTATTATTATATTCTATTCATCATTACAATTGTTAATTTCTATGAATATGACAAAGAATAATAATAATGACTTTAAAGATAATAACAATACAATCAATGATGACAGTAAGAAGAGAAATGTCGCTCCTGTCGACTTACCAAAGCGGTCTCTGGCGTTGAGGTCGCCGCCGTTCTCCGCCAGGAATTGGACGACAGAAAGGTGTCCGTTCCTGGCAGCGAAGTGAAGGGCGGTCTGTCTGCGGGAGGAAGAAGCTTGTGTCAACCGTCGTGTTGATGGGTGGTGGGAATGAGGATGGAAATGGAAGCGAAAGGGAGGATGAAAAGGGGGATGGGCATCATAGTAAGGAGGAAGTAAGGAAGAGTGAGAACTAGAAGGGGGAGGAAGGAATGGAAAAGAAAAGAAGGGAAAAGAGAGAATAACAGTGAGAAGGAATGGAGAGAGATGAAAGAGTGAAGGGAAGAACGAAGAGCGGAGGAGACACGGAGAAGAATAATGAAAAGGGAATAAAGAAAAGAGCAGAAAAGGAGAGAAGGAAGAGGCATAAAAGGGAGTAAGAGAGAGAAATAAGAATGGAAAAAGAAGAAGAGGAAAGAGTGAATGGGAGGTAGAGAAGAGAGTGATGGAGAAAAAAAAAAAAAAAGAGAAAAGAGAAAAAAATGTCAGTAAAGGAATAGAGAGATGAAGGAAGGAAGAGAGAAATAGAGAAGAAGAGTCAAGACAGAGAAAAGATGTAAGGAAGGAAAATGAGAGTGGAGAGTAGAGAAAGACAAAAAAGATGAAGAGGAGAAAGGGGTGGGAGTGGGTGAGAGATTCAAAAGAAGAGAAATGGAGAGAAAGTGGATAAGAAAAGTAAACAAAGAGGAAAGATGGATGTAGGCCTACTAAATGAGGATGGTCAAAATGGTTAACCTCATGTGCGTGTTTACGTACATATGATCGTCCTTGAAAATCATGAACTCCCTGTGACCATCCCCCCCCTCCCCCATGGCTGACAAACTGGTAATAAATCAATAAATAAATAAATCAATAAAAATCTATCCATGACTTTTTGAGTTATCCTGTTAACCGACAGACAAACCAATGGACAAAGAAACTGATTGCAACAATGATAATGATAATAACAATAAGAATGATTATAACAATAGAAATATTAAAGTCGTTAATAATAATAACATAATGATAATGATATTATTGATATTATCCTTATTATGATACTTTCATATTATTTTTATTACTATTTTAATGATAAAGAATAATAATAGTGATAAAAAACAAGAATATAACCAAAAACAATTGCAAGAATAGAATTGTTGCTCCTGTTGCCTTACCGAAGCGTTATCATTATTATCATTATTATTGTTTGATTTTCTTTTATATCATCTTTCTTCTTTTGCTACTTTATTTATCTTCATATTTTTTATTGTTTTGGTGTTTTATTTGTGCATTCTCTTTTAGTATATATATTTTTTATTTTCTAACTTTTATTCTTCTTTATGTTTCTGTTTTCTATTTTATTTTTTTATTGTTACCATCATTCCATTACCATTATTATTGTTATTACTTTTGTTATTATTATTATTTATTATTATTATATTATTATTATTTATTCATTACAATTGTTAATTTCTATGAATATGACAAAGAATAATAATAATGACTTTAAAGATAATAACAATACAATCAATGATGACAGTAAGAAGAGAAATGTCGCTCCTGTCGACTTACCAAGGCAGTCTCTGGCGTTGAGGTCGCCGCCGTTCTCCGCCAGGAATTGGACGACAGAAAGGTGTCCGTTCCTGGCAGCGAAGTGAAGGGCGGTCCTGTCTGCGGGAGGAAGAAGCTTGTGTCAACCGTCGTGTTGATGGGTGATGGGAATGAGGATGGAAATGGAAGCGAAAGGGAGGATGAAAAGGGGGATGGGCATCATAGTAAGGAGGAAGTAAGGAAGAGTGAGAACTAGGAAGGGGGAGGAAGGAATGGAAAAGAAAAGAAGGGATAAAGAGAGAATAACAGTGAGAAGGAGGGTATGGAGAGAGAGGAAAGAGTGAAGGGAAGAACGAAGAGCGGAGGAGACACGGAGAAGAATAATGAAAAGGGAATAAAGAAAAAGAGCAGAAAGCAGGAGAGAAGGAATAGGCATTAAAGGGAGTAAAAGAGAGAAATAAGAATGGAAAAAGAAGAAGAGGAAAGAGTGAATGGGAGGTAGAGAAGAGAGTGATGGAGAAAAAAAATGGAAGAAAAGAGAAAAAAATGTCAGTAAAGGAATAGAGAGATGAAGGAAGGAAGAGAGAAAATAGAGAAGAAGAGTCAAGACAGAGAAAAGATGTAAGGAAGGAAAATGAGAGTGGAGAGTAGAGAAAGACAAAAAAGATGAAGAGGAGAAAGGGGTGGAGTGGGTGAGAGATTCAAAAGAAGAGAAATGGAGAGAAAGTGGATAAGAAAAGTAAACAAAGAGGAAAGATGGATGTAGGCCTACTAAATGAGGATGGTCAAAATGGTTAACCTCATGTGCGTGTGTTTACGTACATATGATCGTCCTTGAAAATCATGAACTCCCTGTGACCATCCCCCCCTCCCCCATGGCTGACAAACTGGTAATAAATAAATAAATAAATAAATCAATAAAAATCTATCCATGACTTTTTGAGTTATCATGTTAACCGACAGACAAACCAATGGACAAAGAAACTGATTGCAACAATGATAATGATAATAACAATAAGAATGATTATAACAATAGAAATATTAAAGTCATTAATAATAATAACAATAATGATAATGATATTATTGATATTATCCTTATTATGATACTTTCATTATTTTTTTCATTACTATTTTAATGATAAAGAATAATAATACTGATAAAAAACAAGAATATAACCAAAAACAATTGCAAGAATAGAATTGTTGCTCCTGTTGCCTTACCGAAGCGTTATCATTATTATCATTATTATTGTTTGATTTTCTTTTATTATCATCTTTCTTCTTTTGCTACTTCATTTATCTTCATATTTTTTTATTGTTTTGGTGTTTTATTTGTGCATTCTCTTTTAGTATATATATTTTTTATTTTCTAACTTTTATTCTTCTTTATGTTTCAGTTTTCTATTTTTATTGTTACCATCATCATTCCATTAACATTTATTTATTACTTTTATTATTATTATATTATTATTATTATTTTATTATTATTATTATTATTATTCCTATTACCATCATTACAATTGTTAATTTCTATGAATATGACAAAGAATAATAATAATGACTTTAAAGATAATAACAATACAATCAATGATGACAGTAAGAAGAGAAATGTCGCTCCTGTCGACTTACCAAAGCGGTTTCTGGCGTTGAGGTCGCCGCCCTTCTCCGCCAGGAATTGGACGACAGAAAGGTGTCCGTTCCTGGCAGCGAAGTGAAGGGCGGTCTCGTCTGCGGGAGGAAGAAGCTTGTGTCAACCGTCGTGTTGATGGGTGGTGGGAATGAGGATGGAAATGGAAGCGAAAGGGAGGATGAAAAGGGGGATGGGCATCATAGTAAGGAGGAAGTAAGGAAGAGTGAGAACTAGAAAGGGGGAGGAAGGAATGGAAAAGAAAAGAAGGGATAAAGAGAGAATAACAGTGAGAAGGAGGGAATGGAGACAGAGGAAAGAGCGAAGGGAAGAACGAAGAGTGGAGGAGACACGGAGAAGAATGAGGAAAAGGGATTAAAGAAGAGCAGAAAGTTGGAGAGAAGGAAGAGGGAAAAAGGAATGGGAGAGAAAGTGAGTAAGAAAGAGAAAGAAGAATGGAAAAAAAGAAGGGGAAAGAGTGAAAGGTAGTGATGGAGAGAAAAAGAGGAAGAAAAGAGAAAAGAGAAAAAATGTCAGTAAAGGAATTGAGATGAAGGAAGGAAGAGAGAAAATAAAAAAAAGATGAGACAAGGAGAAAGAGGACAGAGAAAAGATGTAAGGAAGGAAAGTGAGATTGGAGTAGAGAAAGACAAAAAAAGATGAAGAGGAGAAAGGGGTGGGAGGGGGTGAGAGAAAGAGCTGAACACATGATAGTGAGGGGGATGGTGGGGAGAAAGTGGGGGAAAGGGAGAGAAAAAGGTAGAGGAAAGAGTGGGGAGGAGGAAGTGAGGTACAGGAAAGAAGAGGAGAGAGAGTGGAAGGAAGGAAGTGAGAGACGGGAAAGCTGGAAGAGGAAAGACAGTAGAATAAGGGAGAGCTAGAGAAACAGAGAAGAAAGAGAGATACAGAGAATTAGAAAGAAGAAAAGAGAAGGAGAGTAAAAGGACGAGGACAAAGAAAGAAAAAAAAAACGAGAGACAGGGAAGAGGAAGATAACGAATAGAGTGAAGAAACAAGGAAAAAGTAAAAGACAGAGAGAGAGCAAAGTAGAGGAAAATAGCTATCATTATGGTCTTTTTATTTCAACTGAACTAGTATTTGTAAATAATAGAAATAACAATAACACGAGCAACAAGAGTTATAAAAGTAAAACTATAAATGATTATACCAAGAATGATTAAAACATTCATAAAAAAGATATCATATGACAAAAACAATGACAATAAAAACAATAATAACACTAGTGATAAAATAATGAAAGTAATGATAATAATGATGAACATAATAAGGATAATCATAATAATGACAATGATAATAATAATAACAAAGATATGATTAATGATTTTCATGATTATAATAGCGTAAAAAAATACTGCTAATAGCAATAGATATAATAATAACAATGGCAATGATAATCATCATCATAAATAAAGAAAAATAATTATCAAAATTATAATAATAATGAAATCAATAAGGATAATACTGATAGCAATGTCAATTGTAATAGCAACGATAGATAAGGATGATGATAAATAAGATTAGACATAATAATAATGACAATGATAATGATGATAATTATAATGTCAATGATAATAACAATAATTATAGTAACATTAATGATAATAAGAATATTCATAATAACAACAAAAATAACTGTAATAACAACAATAACAATAACAATAATCATCATTATCATAAAAAATAAATAAAAATCAAACTATATATCATAAACGAAAGATAAGGGGAAACTTCAAGAGAAGGATTCTCTGCACAACGACGCAGCGACAAGAGCGACAGAACCGGATTCGTGGAGCCGCGACGCCTTCAGTAGCGCTGCTGTCGCCTCGCCACGCGTGTCCTTGGCAGAGGAGGAGCAGCGGAGGGAGAGAAGGAAACAGGAAAGGGAAGAGGAGAGAATGATAATGGGGGGGAGAAGAAGGGAGTAGGTAATAGTGGAAAAGGAAAAGGAGAGAGAGGAGAGGAGAAAAACATGAAGAACAGAAAGAGAGGAAAGGAGGAAGAGGAAAAAGAGTGAGAAAGGTTGAGTTAAAAGGGAGAAAATTAAGAAGAAAGGAAAGGAGGTAGCAAAGATAAAGAGAAAAAATAAGAGGTGAGGTAGTGACGTAGTAGGAAGAACAAGAAAAGGAAGGGAGAAGAGGGCGAAAGATGGAAGGAAGAATAGGAATAAGAGAGGGGAATTGTGAGGATAAGAAGTGGAAAGAGGAATAGGAAAAGGAAAGAGAGCAAAAGAGGGAGGTAAGAAGAGAAAAAGAGAAGGAGAAGAAGAAAGAAGGGATAAAGAAGAGATAGAAAGGAAGGAAAGAGGGAGAGAAATGAACGGGAAGGGGATAGAGTGAGGAAGGGAGGAAGAAGAGAAAGAGAGGAAGGGAGGGCGAGGAGAGAAAGAGAAAAAACTGGGGAAGAGGAGAGAGAGAGGAATATGTGAGAGGGGGCTCAGCATAAAGAAGAGAAATACGAAGAAAAGAAAGAAAATTAGGAAGACAGAGAGAGGAATAGGAGAGAAAAAAAGAAAAGAAGTGGGAGAGGAATAAGAAATAACAGAGCAAGAATAATGACGAAAACAATAACAATAAGAACAATGAAAATAATAATGATTATGAATAATGATGCGAATAATAGTAACAAATATAGTAAAACAATCAACTAAATGATAAGCTAAGAATAATTATGATAAGAATTATGAAATGATAATAATAAGAACGAAAGCAGTAGGAAGTAAAGATACACTGAAAGTATCAGCGTTAGTAATTGATTTAAATATAGGTGAACTAACAAAACTTTAGAAAGGGAAAATCAAAGCCGGTCTTAATATTAAAAAAAAAAGAAAATATAGATAGTAATAGCGGCCTCAGATTTTTTGGTGACATCAACGATAATTATGGCAAGATCACAATCAGTCATTAATATAATAATAATAATAATAATATAAAATAAATAATGAAAATAATCTTAATGATAATGGTATAGTCATGGAAATATAACAACCAACAAATATAACAAACAAGTAGCTAAACAAAAGGAATAAAACTGAAAACACA